CCGGCTGCTTTAACGTTTTCATAAACACTGTCTGATGGGTAGTGTCTTCTTCAAGAGCCTGTTCGTAAGTCTGGGGAAGAAAAGTAGAGCATTTAGCGATTAAAATATAACACCATGTTGAATATATGTGAAATTAGGATGACAATCGAAGTCTTTGAGTAGAACTTAATATATATATGAATTTATCTTATATACAAAAAAAAACGAGTTAGCTTGATATCAGTTGTAGCAAATTTCACTTAACATAATTTCGCTGTAAAAATATGGTACATGTCCCTTCAGAAAGGAAGATTAAAATATACCTGGAAGCCCAAACCTCCCACAGGACGAAGGAGGGTGGCAGCAGGCAGGATATGACCATGGCAACATCGAGACAAGCGAACGACAGTCCAGCGCGCATACCCGCACGACCAGGCAGTCAATTGAAAATCACACGCCAGGCAAAAATATGAGGGGAGAAAACTGAGCAAATCAAAGTCAATCAGGTTAATTTTTCTAAATGAGTTGTGCCCCCTCAAGACAAAATCGGATTCTATATTTAATTACTTTGTCCTTGCATTGTACCTGAACAATTGATAAGCATGAGCTGCGTGTAGGTACTGAATGAGTATTTTTTACATGTCTCTTAGAATAAGAAGTAGGTAACATCTGCATAGTAGATGTAGTAGGTCACATCTGCATAGAAAAAGAAGTAGGTCGCATCTGCATAGAAAAAGAAGTAGGTCACATCTGCATAGAAAAAGTAGTAGGTCACATCTGCATAGAAAAAGAAGTAGGTCACATTTGCATAGAAAACGTAGTAGGTCACATCTGCATAGAAAAAGAAGTAGGTCGAATCTGCATAGAAAAGAAAGTAGGTCACGTATGCGTAGAAAAAGAAGTAGGTCACATCTGCATAGAAAAAGAAGTGGGTCACACCTGCATAGAAAAAGAAGTGGGTCACATCTGCGTAGAAAAAAAAGTAGGTCACATCTGCATAGAAAGTAGTAGGTCATATCTTCTTAGGAGAAATAGAATAAATCTTTTTGTACTGTTATGACATGATTAGGATTTAGTTACTTGTTTCGGGAATAAAGGGAAAGTTTTACTTAGCGACAAGTGACGTGACAGATAATTAACAAACAAGAACGCTCTAAGTGACGCTACAAAGAAGACGCTTCGTGGAGAGCAGTAGAATAGATATACGGATTTACGGACATAGCTGACATTGGACGATTCCCTTCGTGATTATTAAATATATTTGTAGACCAACATCAGCGTCGACTACATATTTTGATTGTTTCGGCCTTTCGCCGGTGTTACTGAAGTAGTTTGAGTTCGGCATTACCTCCAGTCAGACGTAGATCAACACTAGTTATATTTCAAAGAATCAACACCTCGCGGAAGCCTGAACAGTACATAACAAAAAGAAAAAGATTGTTTGTACTTTGACCTACATTTAAAATGAGGTTGAGCATTTCTTACTTATCGTGGTGTCATTAACTTTAAAGAAATACATAGACTTCTTATATCGTTTTGGGCTAGGGTTACTATAAATTAATTCGTCGAGAGTAAACGCACCAGGCGCTTGTAATCAACCTCATACTAGCCCGACCTCGGATAATTGGAGGCGTTGGGCGAAGTGTATTTGGTGGCCCCCAAATGAAATAGAAAAAAAATAATAATATTAATAAACATCGAAAAAATCGATTTAACGCAAATTTTTTGTACAACCTAGTGTACTGCAACAATAACATTGGTCACAAGTCTCACTATTACTGCACTAAAATAATCGCCATGAGTCCTGTGCGAGGCTCCCATCAATTGGAGGCCCTACGCGGCTGTCTACTTTGCCTATGCCTAAAGTCGTCCCTTGCCCCATAATTTACACAACAACCCTTAATGTTATTAGTGGACGGCAACGACACTAAGTTTTTGAAGCGCTATGTTATGTATCTGGGCATCAGTGGTAGTCAGGGGAGATCAGAATTAGGAACAATAACTTCATTGTACGAAAGTTCACGGTTCACAGAGTTCATGCCCCTAGCTCTCCTGCACCCAACACATGTCAAGCAAGAGAAGTCCTCTCAATCAAGTTATCGAACGTAGTCGCCATGTGTGACTATGCCCATACCGTGCATTCTATGTATAGAATGTACAGAGGTTCTTAGGTTTAGGTGATCCGTTCTTCAGTCTGTCTGGGTCCGTTCGATTGTTTCGTTTGCATCTCAAAGCCTAGAAAAGCTACTAAGAGATTTCTACAAATCAAATAAGAACATAAAACTAAAATGTTATTTATATAATACAGATATTACTTCAAAAAAAGAAGATGATTATGTCCTACGCGTCATGCATTTAGTCATGCATATTAACCAATGACTTAAATTTAGCTCACCAAAAAGGACTGCTTTTGGCATACGTTCGTCACCCATACGGGATACGAAATTGTATATAGATCTGATCAATTACACTATTCATTGTAATATACCCGCCGCAGCTCATCTATTATAATATAGCCACGTTTACTAGTATCAGGTAGCCATTAGAGCTAGGTGGATTCATTGGCAATCGTGATCTTAAAACTCCCAGTCAGGATTCGAACCCGGAACCCCATTTTACCATTTAGTCACCACGCCTTCTCATAGATATATGTATGTACTAGTATAATTGAAGGCACTTACATGTGAAACCTTGAAAGAACAATAGAATTATTTTGTCGATCGCAGTATAAGCTTCCAAGTCAGTAGCCACTGTTAGAAACTACAACTCTGGACACGCTAGAGGTGCACTTGGGAAATGCCCAGGTTTTCTATTTCTTTTAAACTGTCGGCACATTTAACACGGAAGTAAAATGTGAAACAATAATTAGTCTAATGAGTCAACTATTTTAACCAATGAATTCACATTCAAAGACCTTGCAGACACATTGAAATATATAGACTGGTTAACTAGAAGATTTTTATTCGCTCAGTTTATCATTCTATCAGTCAATAAATCGATATATCTATTGGGAAAAATTATGGCGTCACATTTCTGAACAATCAGTGCGCTTCAATGACATTCGTCTTGCATAGACCGTGACACAGCACTGAACAGACTAAGCAGTAAGCCTACTAATTGTCAGGTAATTTTTTTTTAGCTTTGCAAGCCTAAGTAGTTCACTAAAGCAGTGGTTCTCAAACTGTGGTACGCGAACCCGAGACGAGAGAAGGGGGTCCGCTGAAAAATGAAAATTGTATACAATTAAAATAACGTCTTTTATCAACTCGCCCCTTACATGCCTAATATGAATTTAATATGTTTGATATGTGTATTTAAATGTCTTTTACGTACTATTCTATGACGGCCTAAAATTAAGATTTGAAGAATCCTTCACCTGGATACTCTAGACTGGGTATTTCGTGCATGAACTAATTCAGATTCCAATCACAGATTCTTCTTCATTCTCATATAAATGTTGGAAGGTTCAGATAAGAAGTTCTACATCTGCGATGAACTGCGCAGTGGTTTCCAGAAATGGCAGCTCTCCATATAATTTGTATTCTATTTGGAGGGGGAGAGAAATGTAAGGGGGGGGGGGGGCCCAGAATCTTGTTCGGGCCTCTCGATAGAAAGCGCAGCTTTGAAGAACATGGTCGACATACTCAAGGGCAAATCTCACTAGCCCCTGTAGCTTCTGGAACATGTGTTGTCTCGGCTGTGACGGGTTTTAGATGTCATGTAATTAACTTCGTTATAAATCCAGCTAACAATAAATCTATGCGATTACAGCTTAATGTTTTTGTTTAGTGCAATTGCATGCGTTTAGCTATAAAAGTACGATATGATCCTATCAAGAAAGTGATATCTGAGTGAATTTTACCGTAATCGCTTTTTTAAATTATTTTTTTTTTTAAAAAGGAAAAAGGGGGGGGGGGTGCATTGACCTGACTTCGAACTCATGGCTCTATACGACATATTAACGCAGGATAAATGCATCGATAATCACAAGTCTAAAGGTTAAAGATGATTTTTTTAAATTCCCCTTTCAGACCTTGTGGTCTATAGGGCAGATGATGTACAGGTCATCTGTTTCTGTGACCCACGCTTTTACAAGGGTATCATGTGGCCAGCACAACGACCAACCGCATTTACCTTTCCCCAACTAATGTCAGGTACCCATTAGAGCTGGGTGGACTCAGAGCCACCCTAAAAGTCCCGAAATTAAAAATCCCAGTCTTCACCGAGATGTGAACCCGGGACCCCAACTGGTTCGGAAATGTGAAGACACACGATGGCAGATGAAAGCACATGATGACAGTTGGTGACACATGATGACATTTGATAACACACGATAACAGTTGGGGACACATGGTGACAGTTTGTGACACATGATAACAGTTGGTGACACATGATGACAGTTGATAACACACAATAACAGTTGGTGACACATGATGACAGTTGGTGACACATGATAACAGTTGATAACACACAATAACAGTTGGTGACACATGGTGACAGTTGGTGACACATGATAACAGTTGGTGACACACTATGACAGTTGATAACACACAATAACAGTTGGTGACGCATGGTGACAGTTGGTGTCACATGATAACAGTTGATGACACATGATGACAGATGAAGACAAATACTAATTTACAGTAAGTTTGAAGATCGACAGATGACGACAATAATGACAGATGATAACATATGATAGAGATAATGACATGACAGCGTACGGTGACAAAAGGAAACAAACAATGATGCCTGATGATAGATAATGGCAGATAGTACGATAAAGGGTAAAAACAGATGAAGACAGTGGAAGACAGATGAACCCACATGATGACAGATAAAAACTAAAATTAAAGATAATTAAATATGATGACAGATTAAAACAGACGAAGGCTGATGATGACAGTTTATAACATATATTGGAAACCAGTTTAGTAATTCAGATGACAGATAAAGAAAAAAAAAGATGATGGCAAATAATTGCAGATACTAATTTACAGTTTGGAGAACTCAAACGCAAACTGTTCATCAAGTTTGATTTATTGTTGGAATAGAAAATGACAAATCTCTGAGAAGTTCACATTGTTAGCTCATTTCATTCATAGAAATCCTTTCTGTCTTTATCTATTTATTTATTTATTTTACCGTTGACGATTTTATAACCTCCAATTCTCTCCTAGGGAGTCAAAGTTCTTCCTGGCATTGCCGAGTGTCAACATGATCATCATAACTACTTTGGATATTTAAACACGTCCAGACACACAGACACACACACACACACATGTATATGAACACTTATGAAATGTATGTACTATTCGTGGTTTTTATCTTATTGTAAAATACATGAGATTAGAAATGTACCAGGACATCATAAAAGCACGGTGGAAGGAAGAGGGAAGGAGGATTTAAAGAGGAGGGAAGGGGAGGGGAAGGAAGATTGAAAGAGGATTAAGGAGGAGGGGAACGAGGAGGGAAGAATGAGGATGGAAGAAGGAGGTGAAAAAGAAGGGAAGAAGGAGGAAAAGAGGAGGGAAGAAGGAGGTGAAAGAGGAGGGAAGAAGGAGGTGAAAGAGGAAGGAAGAAGGAGGTGAAAGTGGAGGGAAGAAGGAGGTGAAAGAGGAAGGAAGAAGGAGGTGAAAGAGGAAGGACGAAGGAGGGGATAGAGGAGGGAAGAAGGAGGTGAAAGAGGAGGGAAGAAGGAGGTGAAAGAGGAAGGAAGAAGGAGGTGAAAGAGGAGGGAAGAAGGAGGTGAAAGTGGAGGGAAGAAGGAGGTGAAAGAGGAGGGAAGAAGGAGGTGAAAGAGGAAGGAAGAAGGAGGTGAAAGAGGAAGGAAGAAGGAGGGGATAGAGGAGGGAAGAAGGAGGTGAAAGTGGAGGGAAGAAGGAGGTGAAAGAGGAAGGAAGAAGGAGGTGAAAGAGGAGGGAAGAAGGAGGTGAAAGTGGAGGGAAGAAGGAGGTGAAAGTGGAGGGAAGAAGGAGGTGAAAGAGGAGGGAAGAAGGAGGTGAAAGAGGAAGGAAGAAGGAGGTGAAAGAGGAAGGAAGAAGGAGGGGATAGAGGAAGGAAGAAGGAGGTGAAAGAGGAAGGAAGAAGGAGGGGATAGAGGAGGGAAGAAGGAGGTGAAAGAGGAGGGAAGAAGGAGGTGAAAGAGGAAGGAAGAAGGAGGTGAAAGAGGAGGGAAGAAGGAGGTGAAAGTGGAGGGAAGAAGGAGGTGAAAGTGGAGGGAAGAAGGAGGTGAAAGAGGAGGGAAGAAGGAGGTGAAAGAGGAAGGAAGAAGGAGGTGAAAGAGGAAGGAAGAAGGAGGGGATAGAGGAGGGAAGAAGGAGGTGAAAGAGGAGGGAAGAAGGAGGGGATAGAGGAGGGAAGAAGGAGGTGAAAGAGGAGGGAAGAAGGAGGTGAAAGAGGAAGGAAGAAGGAGGTGAAAGAGGAGGGAAGAAGGAGGTGAAAGTGGAGGGAAGAAGGAGGTGAAAGTGGAGGGAAGAAGGAGGTGAAAGAGGAGGGAAGAAGGAGGTGAAAGAGGAAGGAAGAAGGAGGTGAAAGAGGAAGGAAGAAGGAGGGGATAGAGGAGGGAAGAAGGAGGTGAAAGAGGAGGGAAGAAGGAGGTGAAAGAGGAAGGAAGAAGGAGGTGAAAGAGGAGGGAAGAAGGAGGTGAAAGTGGAGGGAAGAAGGAGGTGAAAAAGGAGGGAAGAAGGAGGTGAAAGAGGATGGAAGAAGGAGGGGAAAGAGGAAGGAAGAAGGAGGTGAAAGAGGAAGGAAGAAGGAGGTGAAAGAGGAGGGAAGAAGGAGGTGAAAGAGGAAGGACGAAGGAGGGGATAGAGGAGGGAAGAAGGAGGTGAAAGAGGAGGGAAGAAGGAGGTGAAAGAGGAAGGAAGAAGGACGTAATTCTGTACGAAACATGAAAGCTATCTTCTGATTGAGCGTGCCCTAATTGTTTTCTCATAATCAGGGCCGGCCTTAGGCATAAGCAAACTAGGCAGCCGCCTAGTGCCTCCGATTGGTGTGGGCCTCGCACAGGATTCAAAAAACATTTTTTTAAAGAGAAATAGCGAAACTTGTCCTCAATGTTATTGTGGGAGTGCACTGGGTTTTTAATCCATCGCGTAAGTTTAGTTTTTTCGTTGTTTGTATTTTTTGGTCTATAGCATTATGGGGCCACCAAATTCACTTCGCTTAGGCCAGCGAGTCTCAACCTTTTTTATTTCCGAGATCCCTTTTTACAATTTCTCACTATGTGGCGACCCCCCCCCCCCCAACCGTAAAAGTTATGTGTTTTTTTGCTAATGTTATAGAGATTCATTTTCATGGGTTGTTCCATACAATAAACGAGTTGTGCTTTTTGAGAACGTGGGTCAATCTTCGCCATAGAAACAATACCTAGGATTCTGCAATGGCGCAACATTGCATTTTGCAGCACCGTTTGATGGACAGTAATTGAAACAAATGTTATGCTGTGACGATTAAAATGCTTGACATGATTCTGATTCAGTTTTTTTTGTATCATTTGTCATAGAATGACAATTCTAGTAAACAAAATAGTAACTACCAATGTAATTTTTTTTTTACAGTGTCAAGCCACTTTCTAGACAAAAGAATTTTTATTTTTCCTATAGGTCTTAGGCGCCCCATGGACAAAAAATAGGTCACGACGCACAGGTTGAGAGCTCCTGGCTTAGGGCCTCCAATTATCTAAGGCCGGCCCTGTCATAAGGATTGTAATTTAATGCTACTCGTGTTTCGAATGTTCTAATGGTACAAAAAAAATTCTCCCATAAATTCTTTCCATATTGCGTCAAAGTCGCTACTCTATTTCTTAAGAATGTAGCCAGCGTTTTTGTAGTTGGTAAAATTAAATGTAATCGTCTCTCCGTTCTTCGGTACATACACAGAGACACCTGAAATCAAGCAAGCAGACGTAAGGAAAACATTTAATATTATAGTGTAAAATCAATCTAGCAGCGATAAAGAAAACGAACTATGGATTTGATAATATAGCCTGTAATTGAACTAACAGCGTAAATAATGTAAAAAATGTAGTTGATATTGTTATGACTCTACATTGCGCACTGTCATTTGGCCAAGGGCATGGGCGCAGCCAGGATTTATTTCGGGGGGGGGGGTGAGCCCCCCCCTGGCTACGCCCATGGCGTAGGGGACATAATGGAGAAACAGAGAAGAGATGAAAACAAGGACGCCTGAGATGTGATTAGTTTGGCTCTAGATCTAGTTTCTAATTGATGATTAAACGTTCCATTTTGTAATCCTTTCGTTGAGGTTATGTTGGCATAGTTACAACAATATTATTGTCAAACGCTTCTTAAACTTGGGGTTGAGTGGCTGTTCACACGACAAATGGTTGTTCACACGACAAATGGCTGTTCACACGACAAATGGTTGTTCGCACGACAAATGGTTGTTCGCACGACAAAAGGTTGTTCACACGACAAATGGCTGTTCACACGACAAATGGCTGTTCACACGACAAATGGTTGTTCGCACGACAAAAGGTTGTTCACACGACAAATGGCTGTTCACACGACAAATGGCTGTTCACACGACAAATGGTTGTTCGCACGACAAAAGGTTGTTCGCACGACAAATGGCTGTTCACACGACAAATGGCTGTTCACACGACAAATGGTTGTTCGCACGACAAATGGTTGTTCACACGACAAATGGTTGTTTGCACGACAAATGGTTGTTCGCACGACAAATGGTTGTTCGCACGACAAAAGGTTGTTCGCACGACAAATGGTTGTTCGCACGACAAATGACTGTTCACAAGACAAATGGCTGTTCACACGACAAATGGCTGTTCACACGACAAATGGTTGTTCACGCGACCAATGGTTGTTCACACGACCAATGGTTGTTCACACGACCAATGGTTGTTCATATGACAAAATGTCTAACTGATAATTGGTTAACGAAAATTTCTGTTTACACGACAAATTGCTAAATGACAATTTGTTCACCGACTAAACGTTCACCTGCCAATCGGATAGTAACTTGATAGCTGACTGGTCGTGATGCAATGGATTCCCTCACATTGTGGAATCAGAGGAAACGAGAGGGCGAACAGTTTAGCGAAGCTATGAGCACTTTTAGACCCAGCAGAAGAGCCGCAAACATACGAGATTACGAAAGCAAGAATTTGTGAATGGATCAAGTCCAAGTGGTACGTTAGCTGGGACCTTTGTAGCACGGGATGGGTAGTCTGGTAGGTTCTCAAACTCCCAAACAGAAAAGACAAATGGTAGCAGCTAGACTGAAAGGATCAAGCAATTTTGGCACGATTCCGCAGTGGTCAATATCCGATAGGAGCCTACTTTGCTAGGATCCGAAACAAACGATCCCAGATGTCGACACTGTCACACGAGACAGCAGAACACATCCTCAACGATTGCAGGGTGCCTCAGACACACAATCGAAGATACAACTAGTCTTGAAACAGAACTGGTGCATGCGGGGGTCTCATCTTGTTCGCAGACAGGCGAACCCTACAAAACACTACCAAATAACTGGACAGTGTTACGTGTTATAAGGGATTAATCTCAGCACGGGGCATTAGCGCATGAAGGCTTGCAAATGGTCGTGCGGTGAGCGCGCTGGAATGATGTTCGGTCGTCTTGATAGTTCCAGGTTCATAAACTGCCCACTGCCATCCCTTATCTTCCTGCGGGAGGTTTAGACTAGGAAGCAGATTATCTTCATTTCTGCAGGAACATGTCAAACATACCGGGAGGTTTAGACTAGGAAGCAGATTATCTTCATTTCTGCAGGAACATGTCAAACATACCGGTTACACTGTCATATATAACATCCAAGCTATAACGCCTAACTAAATATTGGAATATAGAAATACCGCAATCGTAACTGCCATTCTCACTGAGAAAGTCCCAGAATGAATTATCGGATTCTGTGCCGTACTGCCCGTTGATGCTGTCAAGAATGTAACCAACCATGGGCGAGTAGGAAATTGTGAACCTGCAATAGGTCCCTCAGAGATTAATTTAAGGCACACTTCTAGATCAACACATATGTATAAACAAGCAAAATAATTTTAAAAAATCATTTAAAAAAAACAAAGTTTATCTGCGCTTAGAACTATCTCTCAATAATGTAAAAGTTATTTTCCTAATTTATCAAACACAAAAAAAATTACTGATAGTTAAATGAGTAATTGGTTGTTTTTAAATTGATTCATGCTTTGTTGGTACATTAAAAAAATTGTTTAAATATTCAACTTGATCGAAGAATGGAATCGGGAGAAATAATGTGAACAATGATATAAGTGGACCAAACCCTACATATTTAGCCATATCTATGAATACTAAAAGATTATTTTCACTTGTTGGTATCAAAACAAAACAAAAAAATGAATTAGCAGTAGTTAATTAGCTAATTGTTGGTTTTTTGTTTTATTGTTTCATGTCTTGTCTGTGCAAATAAATAATTGTGTTAAGTGTCAACTTGTTCCGAGAATTGGTGTGGGAGAAATAACGTGTACACAATTTTTAACAGACAGACAGTTTTTTATAAAATTAATTCTCTTTAGAAGACTGAAGCTCCAAGCATGATTC